TTTCAGGCATAGATATATTCCACCTCAGGAAGCAGCCAGACAGAACTGGCCTGTCAGGGATGAAGCTGTTCTTTCCTCAGGATTTACTTTTTATTGCTCTGAATCATGTTTGTGTGTATGTGCGGGTAATGATTTCACTTGATCCTGTTGATTATGAGAGCAACTTTTAAGATGTGTTTTGCCGTACACTGACTCTCATGCTTCTGTCTCCTGAAGAAAAGGGCTGCCCCGCCCACCGCCTCTGCTGGCGCCACCCAATCTCCCCTTTGGGTACCCAGTGCATGGAGTGGAGGTGATGCCCCTGCACACAGTTCTCATCCCAGGTGGGTACATCTGCGTCTCGAGAGGCTGCAGACAAAAGGTGTGCCCTTGTGCTCTGGGCACAATGCAGGAGGCTTGGTGGGATTTCATTCTGTGTGAGACTCCCTGGTTCCACAACCCGGAGTCTCTCTTTGTAGCTGTGGATTCCCTGTGGCTCTAAGATAATATAGAAGTTGGAATTTTGTGGGCCTCGGGGGCATCTTAGGGGATAGTTGGTTTTCAAAGGTTCTCTAGCAACAAGAGCGTCTTGATGAACCCATTCCCAGGGAGGGTTTTCTGAAAAAGAGTTTTTTTTCTGTTCAGATCCCTTCCAGGGCAGGCTCAGCAGGTAAAGGTGCTTGTGCCAGGGCTGCCACCAAAATTAAATGCAAATAAAGCAATAAAGACAAAGCAAAAACAAGAGCATGCCTTCACGGGGTCTTTACGCATCCATCTGCTTCAGCATCACCCGATGTTTCAAAGCCAAGGACAGAGATGCCAGGAGACCACAGGCAGTCCGTGCATTTCCTCCCCAGAAGTGGTGGGTGGACGCTGGGCCATCTCGTGGATTCCTCTCCTGCTATGTGGGCTCTCTTGGCATCTAGAGGCAAACAGCCCCCACCATGAGCCGTGGAAAAGATCTTGTTTAGCTGGGTGACAGTGGCACCTGGGGTCCAGCAAGTCTCCATGAGCAAGACCTGAATTATCCAAAGTCACACCGCTAACAGGTGAGATGAGAGTGAGTGCCCGGGACAGAAGGCATGCAGGCGCCAAATCCGTGGTCCAGCCTTCCAGACGGAACAAGGGGAGCGAGAAGCAGCCTCCCTGGCCCAGTGGCAGCTAAACTTTGTTGGGAACCATGCAGCCTAGTCTCGGATCTGTCCAACGGGTTTCCCCAGGGCAAGGCACCCGTGGAACTGGACTCTCTGTAGTCCACAGAGCAGCGTAGGAATCTGCTGGCTCTTTTCTCTCATTATGTTGGTGATTCTTTGGGTGGTTTTTAGTTTTGTTCTGCCAGTCACATGTGCAGCTGCTGTAGTTCCCCTGGAAATTCTGTTCCTTTTCAATTATTTTCCCTTAAGATCCAGCAGGGGATTGATACTTCTTAAATCTTTTCTCTGGAACATTACAACTCCCAATCCTGGAACTTTCCTGACTCAATGGTGATAGTAAGGTACATACAAGAAAGCAACACTTGGAACATTGGCCAGGTCTCACAGTTCTGGAAGGGAGAGTAGAGCATGTACACACAGAATAGGGAAAAGGCCGCAGACATACACCTAGTGCCAGCTGTCGAGAGGAAGTTCCCTGGACACCAAGCATGTAGAATCAACCATAAGATCTAGTATATTCCAATGGGAAAATGCAGTGCAATCTGGGATGGAGCGACCCATCTTTAGCATACACAGGAGCTTGTATTGGTGGAAGAAGTGTGGTCTAGTGAGACGGGAAAAGCTTTGTCGTAGTCTGCCTTTGACAGAGAGATGGAGACATGGGGTCCTCTTGTATAAAAGGGAACTGTATAAAAGCGTATTTTGCAGACATGAAAGGACTGTTCGGCTTTGAATATTGTCCTTAAAGCATTGTGCCCGTGTCTATTACTTTTGAAGTTTGTCATCGCAAGTGGTCGACATCAGTGCTGCGAGGGCAGGCTGTGTCCGGCTCGATGTTTATCTAAGCCTGCAAAAATGCTGGACTCTATGTTTAGAATAAGGTTGTGCAGGGGTGGAAAGATGTATTTGGGGAAGCATAAAGGGGAACAATGGGGGCTTCCATAATGATCACAGTGTATTCCCTAATTGTGATGTATTTCTTTTTTTTTAAAGATTTTTTATGATGTATTTATTTTATGTGCAGTGGTGTGAAGGTGTCAGATCACCCTGGAACTGGATTTTACAGTCACTTATGAGCCACCATGTGGGCACTGGGGATTGAACTCAGGTCCTCTGGAACAGCAGTCAGTGCTCTTAACCACCAAGCCATCTCTCCAGTCCTATGATGCATTTCTTAAAGTCAAAAATAGAAGCCAAAGCCGGGCGATGGTGGCGCACGTCTTTAATCCCAGCACTTGGGAGGCAGAGGCGGCAGGCAGATCTCTGTGAGTTCGAGACCAGCCTGGTCTACAAGAGCTAGTTCCAGGACAGGCTCCAAAGCCACAGAGAAACTCTGTCTCGAAAAACAAAACAAAAAAAAAACAAACAAACAAACAAAAAATAGAAGCCAATAATAAAACTGTTCAAGTAACCCTGCTAAGAAAAAAATCTGTTTGAGTATGAATAAAGATGGCCTGAGCTATTGGGGCCACTTGAGTGTAACCTATGTGGTGGTCAATTTTCCTTGCGCTGACGCCCCTTTCCCGCCTCAGGACCTGAACCCGAGCAGAGGCTGGACCAAGCAAAACCTCCTCCTCTGACTTCTGCTCTTACCAGCCTTCCTTCCAAGCTGAAGTCACACTTAATTGCATCCTGTGAGCTAACTAATAAAGAATGCCTGGCGGGAGAGCACTGTTGACCGAGCCCAAGGCTTCAGACAAGCACAGCACCAGCGAGTTAGACCCTTAACCCTGGTCGTGTTTTTGAGTAACCATCTAAAAATGATTTTACATTTTCGGTAACTTGTTTATTTTAAAAAATAACATCTAGCTGGGTGGTGGTGGCGCACGCCTTTAATCCCAGCATTCGGGAGGCAGAGGCAGGCAGATCTCTGAGTTTGAGGCCAGTCTGGTCTACAAGAGCTAGTTCCAGGACAGGTTCCAAAGCTACAGAGAAACCCTGTCTCGAAAAACCAAAATAATAAT